AAGTAATTACCAATAGTATTGAGTCTGCCATAGATCTGCCCATATGGGCCGCCAAGCACTTCTGCCGAAAACTGGACGCCCTCACAACCTAACCGTCTTGGGCTGTGTCCAAACGTCCGCCCTATTCACTAGATCCCTCAATCACTATATAGTGAACTTTATAGAGAGCTAATTTAACTGACCGTACGGACAGATGATCTCTACTTTTCGCTTCACGATGGTCACATAACTCCGCCTCCACCGTGCCTGCGCTATCTTTGTTATTAGTCACTTCTGTAGGGTAGCGACAGTCTATGGACACAGCAAGCTGCATTCTGGGATATATCTGCTCGTCTAGTGACCATGGATCATCACTACCTTTCATGGTGCATTGTGGAAATTTGGTGTGCACTACTTTTTCATCCACTAGACATTCGGACGCTCATTTAAAATAGTGAAATCATTATATAATGCTCTTTATTGGCACTGTATAGGGTGGGCCTTCGGACAGTGTTGGTCTCCTGCTGGCAATACTATCCTATTCAATGGCTCTGGTTGTAACTAATCTCTGCAGAGAACTTTTATTCTTTGGACCACTGTTATCCAACTTTGAGCCTTGCTTTCACAGTTTCATGTACTTAAGCATCCTTCAATTTGGCAGAAACATAGATGCCTCTTCTGCTTTTGCTCCCGCTTTAGTGAATAACAATGTATTGCATTCAGAGCACACTTATGTCTTATCCCTCTTGGCATCCAATATTATCTTACGCTAAAAGGGCATAATAATTTTCTATGAAGACCTTTGTATGTAACTAGAATGAGCTATTGGGTAGAAAATTGTGAAGTCATAGTACGTGACTAGGCCCTTTTAAATCAAACAAGGAGCTGTGGGAGGTAGAAGGGTATTGCAATCTAAAACGAAGATAGAAACTGTTTAAATCTTTTATGAATGGTAAATAGACTATACTTATAGCACCTTTACAATTTACAGGTTTCCAAACACTTTATGCTACATTCAGTCATTTATAAGCATAGTTAAACACTGACAGTGGTAAGCGACTTTGAAGCCATGGCTACCCTGGGGCACACTGATATAAGAATGACTTCCATACTGGTATTCACAGGCACCAGTGGGCCCTCTGACCACCATTGCTAAGGTTAAAGTAACTTGCCCAAGTACACAAAATCTGCAAATGAAAGAACTGGGTTTAAAACCAGTGACCTCTCAGATGCAGGGCAAAGAGTAAATCAATCTGCCTACATCCATATAGACAAACATTTTTTTCCAGAATTTTCTTTCTTGTTTTACTATGGCCAGATGACTAATAGGGTATGGTTTACCAAAGCAAAAACATCAGTCTTTCTGGGAATGTTCATTTCCCTGAACAAATTACAGCTATTATTACAATAGCTACAGGCTCATTATGACAGTCCTCTAGAGACACTGTATCTTTTCATTTCTGCTGTGTGTTGTAATTGTCCTGGTATTTGACCATATTAGCTGAACAAGAGAAGAGGATGTTAAGCATACACCTTCTGCTCACCCAAGAGGACTGTCTAATTCTATTTAGGTCAAAGACAGAACCAGACAAAAGTATATGAGCAAACTAAGCTTTTACTGACAGCCTCTATGCGGACAAGCTGAATCAAACAATACCAGACATTGCCCTTAGAATGAAGATATACTGTACATTAGAAGGATCAGTAATGAATATGAATTTTATAGTCATTAAGCTTGAAAACTAAAATCCCGTATTTATGAATATTATATTTTAAATAAGTTTAAAATTGTAACAGATGTTTTATAACTTGGGTCTTCAACGTTTTCCAGGTCAAGGACCCCCAAACTGATGGGGAGATGGAGCGAGAACCCCCTAATAATTAGGGCCTAATTACATATAGTATGAAATTGTGTTATATCAAGCTGGTCCTATAGTCACTCTATTATAGATGGTGTCATGTGAGGAAAGTAATTTCTCACTGGGATTATTAAAGTATTTCTGGTTCTGATTCCTCATTGATGGGACAGGTGTTGTGGATGAAACGGTGCCCAGCTTGAAGGAGCTGCTGCGTGTCGCTGAATGTGTGCATTGATGACTGAAAGACATCTTCTGCCTCCATTTATTTGTTTACTACAGATAAATGAATTGATTAGACAAAAAGTCTAATCAACCAAAACTTTCGCGACCCCCATGCAGTACCTCTGTGGACCCCCTTGGGGTCCCGGACCCCTGTTGAAGACCTCCATTTTAGAAGTTAATGTTTCAGCAGTCAATATCGCTTTTTTTGTGCGTATTTTCTAAACTTCTTTTGGAATGATCAGTGGCATGCACAAACTTTTTGTCAGGCAGGGTCAGAAAGAAAGAAAAAAGGCACATATAGTGCATCCTCTCCATCATTTTGCTTCCATAGGAGGCACATTAGCATGTGTTTAGACTCCCGAAGCTCACTTAGGCAAGCGTTTTTTTCAACAATTGGGGTGACGCACACTGTGCTCCTCACTGTCAGTCATCCAGGTATTTCTGTGCCTGGTAGCAGTGGAGCTCTTTGCCAAAATCTTTAGTGACTGTGTGCCCCTTATTATATATATATATTGTATTAAATTGTGTTATATCAAACTGGTCCTATAGTCACACTAGATGGTGTCATGTAATGAAAGTAATTTCTCCCTGGGATTATTAAAGTATTTCTGGTTCTGATTCCTGGTTGATGGGACAGGTGTTGTGAATGAAACGGTGCCCATTTTGAAAGAGCTCCTGTGTGTTGCTGAATGTGTGCATTGATGACTGAAAGACATCTTCTGCCTCCATTTATCTGTTTACTACAGTCTGTTGAATTTATGTTATGTTGATTTAAAGACTTTTCAATAAGTGGAAAAAACTGCAGGGGTAATATTTAAAA